CGACGCGATTAGGCCTCTACCAGGAGACCCTCGACCAGTTCAAGATCCCGTCAAACACGCCCATGACGGTACGGCAGGCGTTCCTTCTCGGAACACGCAATGGGGGTCTCGCGCTCAAAAGGCCGGACCTCGGCGTCCTGAGAGAGGGAGCGACAGCGGACGTCGTGGTGTTCTCGACGGATGCGATCGGTTTGGTGGGCTGGAGTGATCCAGTCGCCGCGATTGTATTGCATTCGAACGTTGCCGACATCGAGGACATTTATGTTGGCGGGCAGCTTGTGAAAGCGGGCGGGAAACTAGTCGTCGATTGGGAGGGAAAGGGGTATGGGGACAGACTGAGGGCGAGTGGCAACAAGTTCCGCGATGCTCTAGCACGGACGAACATCAGCGTCTTTGAAGAGGGTGTTAAAGGGTCCTTGACGGATCAAGATTTCCAGGATCCGTTCGAGGTCGATGTTACTCGTGGTGAGAGTACAGGGTTTTAACCGTGAAGAAAAGGTCGATTCATCTTTGCAACCTCGATCATTTTTTGTTCGTAACCACCGTAAATATGGAGAGATCTGGTGTTTCTGGCTCTTGTGTCGGCCGACGAGCTCAACACGATAGCGATCAGTGAATAGAAATTGAAGCTGTTGATGCTGAATGTTCCTCGGCTTCCACCCATCATTCAACTCAACGGATCCTAGTTAGGAGATTGACCATGATCCAGGTAATGTGCTTGTGCTGGAATTGAGAGTCGGAAATTTTGAGAGCCGCGGTTGGAGAAAAGTAGATCCAGTACTTCAATTCAAATGCGGAATCGAGCGGATGGGATATAGGTGGTATCCACTAAACCGAATCAGTGCTGCACGAGGGCAAAGTGATGCTTAGATACAAAGACGACGTTGATATATCCGAACTCGCACCCGGGGATTTAGCGGAGGGTAGATATATACTCAGCTTGGACGCCGCAGCCTGTTGAAAATTTCACGATTTTAAGCAGGTGTACGCGCACGTGGGTAATGTGTGAAGCGAGAACAGCGCGCCCCTTGCGGATGACTGGAGCCCCGCGTCGCCTAGCGAGGAATAACAATCCGAGCGGCGGCGTCAACCGTGGTGCAAAAGTGCGCAAGAAGTCCCGCACAGCTCGCCGGGCGGAAATCCCAGCGCCGCGTACGTCGATGGAGCGGAGAGTGCGTACCGCGTGCTGCGACACAAGAAGGGAGTTGCGCGTGCGCCGCAGGCTCCCCGTGCTCGCAGGCCGGGAAATCCGCGCCGCCGCGGCGCAAATGAACGCGGAGTTCCGGCAGCCCCGAGCCTCGGACGTGGGGCGCTCGCACAGAGACCACCGCGGGCGCATGCATGGATGAACTTGAAGGATGCCTGCGCTCGCCCGAAGGCCGGGGAGGACGACGATGCCGGAGGCGCGGACAGATGGGAGCCCAAGTATGCTCAGGTAGTAAGCCCTCCTGCGGCGCGAGTATGGAACAGGGAACGCCAGGAGGAGGATGCCTGCGGCACGCACAAAACGGGACTCCTTGCGACACTAGGTCCAACCAAAAACAGAGAGGGCGGGCGGACTCACGTGTCTGGAACACGCCCCACGGGATCCCGCGCAGCACCTCTGCGACCTGCAGGCTCACCATATCTTTCGCCGCGAAGAAGATCGCCGCAAACCTGAGGATGGCGACGAGGCAGCAAGTTGGAGAGCAGACAGACGTCGTAGCCCTCCATCGCGATGCATGTCGAGATCAGCAGGCTTCACGCCACCGCTTTCAGGTACAGCCTTAGTCCCTGCAAAAGACTCATCTCGTGCTCCCTGTCCGTCGCCGACTATCCAGCCCCATCCACATCAATACCAAAAATGTCCCCTAAAAGGCAGACGGACCTTGGCGTTCCTCGTGTAATTTTTTGGACTATTCTGGTCCAGAGCTCTAGGAGATACGGTCAGTTCATTATTTCTGGTGCTAAAATGCCTCCCAGCAGCCTGGAGACCCAAGAAAAATAGATATAGTCTAATTGCTCTATGACAAGTCTCATAGTACTTCTAAATCATCCCTCCCAAAAAATCAGCCCGATTGAAGAAGAACTGGCCTTCCTGGCCTCGATTCGTGCCCGCAAGGGCCATGGCTTACAGATCAATCAAAATAATACATTTTTTCTACTTTGGCTGTATGAGAAATTGCAAACGAATTAGTAGAAGAGATCTATCCAGTTTTCATGCCAATTGGTGAAGAACTGATAGAGATATTGTCATTTCTTTTGCGGGGATCAAAAACATCCCAAAATGGAAAAAAAAAATGTGTTCGCGCCTTAGGTACCGACAATAGCTGTAATATTGCTGGCATCGAGCTTCGACCATGGAGTTAGATACCGCGAATAACGTCATTTGGCAATCCCGCATCGCCATCATTTCACTCCATTACATTTTACCTCGGATCCACAAAGATCTGCGCGGAGTAATGATTAATATCCTCCCCCGCAGAGAAGAAAAAAAAGGTAAACGGAAACCGGTGCATGCACCAGCAGGGACTCGAACCCCGTCTCGCCGGAAACTGACCTCTTGTTTGCCTTATTATCAGGTCTGCGTGTGTTCCGTACACTACTTGTGCTCTCTACCTTACAGCTAGTTGCGGAACTTAGGGCGCGGCCCATTTCTTTTTTTAAATAGATGTTTCGGATATTTCAGCTCTACTGAGCTCAGTTCTTCACCGATTCCCTTGAAACTATGATCAATAGATTTGCCTTGCGATTCCGGAGGGAGTGACGTTCGAAAATATGTTAGAAGCGTGGGAATTGCCTTTTTCGGCAAATTGTGAGGCATCTTCTCCTATCAGCTCTAGCATTACAGCTAGTTGCGGAACTTAGGGCGCGGCCGATTTTTTTTTTTTCCATTTTGAGCTGTTTTTGATCCTTTTCACCCAATCAACTGCCCCGGCCTGAGTTCTTCACATAAGGCCATATAAACTGGATGGAAAGGACCGCGCTGCGATTCTGCAGGGGGTGTCGTCTTCCGATTCGTTATATTTGACTTTCTGAAAATGTAATATTGGATTCTGTAGTTTTTGCTTATATCTGGTCCTGCACGGGCAGACAAAGTTCAAATAAGATATATAGTCATTCAATAATACCTTTGCACTGTGTGAAGGGGACCTCGTTGTCCGAATGTGATTCCTGGACCGCAGACGCGTAAAAGAAGCTGTTGAATCCAAAGACTTACAGTTTTGGAACATCTTGCTTTAGGAGTGCTGCCCGCTGCTGCTCTCTACCCCAGTGCGTGAAGTACACACATGTGCGCCCACTGCCCGACCCTCCAGAGATTTTATACGACTCACATTTGCGGTATGTGCCCTAGTTCGACGACACGACGCGCCCCATTATGGACAATCAATCACAGGCACGTGGAGTACCACCCCGTGATTGCAAAACGGGGGCGCGTCGTGTCGTCGAACTAGGGCACATACCGCAAATGTGAGTCGTATAAAATCTCTGGAGGGTCGGGCAGTGGGCGCACATGTGTGTACTTCACGCACTGGGGTAGAGAGCAGCAGCGGGCAGCACTCCTAAAGCAAGATGTTCCAAAACTGTAAGTCTTTGGATTCAACAGCTTCTTTTACGCGTCTGCGGTCCAGGAATCACATTCGGACAACGAGGTCCCCTTCACACAGTGCAAAGGTATTATTGAATGACTATATATCTTATTTGAACTTTGTCTGCCCGTGCAGGACCAGATATAAGCAAAAACTATAGAATCCAATATTACATTTTCAGAAAGTCAAATATAACGAATCGGAAGACGACACCCCCTGCAGAATCGCAGCGCGGTCCTTTCCATCCAGTTTATATGGCCTTATGTGAAGAACTCAGGCCGGGGCAGTTGATTTGGTGAAAACGATCAAAAACAGCTCAAAATGGAAAAAAAAAAATCGGCCGCGCCCTAAGTTCCGCAACTAGCTGTAAATATACTGATCCGTTCGACTTAGTTTTTGGATATATCATGCTTACATGCATTACCTAGGATGTGTCGTGCCCAGATCGTCAAAATACCTCATTATTCAAAAGCTTTACAGTAATCAATTTCAATCAGTTTTAAGTCCCATGCCAAATGTGAACAAAACATTTTACTCCTTATCTGGGCACGACACATCCTAGGTAATGCATGTAAGTATGATATATCCAAAAACTAAGTCAATCGGATCAGTATATTTAATGCTAGAGCTGATAGGAGAAGATGCCTCACAATTTGCCGAAAAAGGCAATTCCCACGCTTCTAACATATTTTCGAACGTCACTCCCTCCGGAATCGCAAGGCAAATCTATTGATCATAGTTTCAAGGGAATCGGTGAAGAACTGAGCTCAGTAGAGCTGAAATGTCCGAAACATCTTTAAAAAAAAAAAAATGGGCCGCGCCCTAAGTTCTGCAACTAGCTGTAATCTCGAGCCTCGTTATGTACGTTAAATTCCAGCATCTACCAGAGAGAGAAAAAGTTGAGCGCATCCTCATGCACCAGCGAGGAATAGAACCCCGTCTCGCCGCCAACTTTGGACATAATCTCTGTATCAGGTTGGCGCGTGTTCCATACACCGCCGGTGCTTTCCAACCCCCTTGTGAACAATGCTAGCTTCCTTACATTTCCTCCATCGCCCACTCCCAACAAATGGACAGTTCTCCACGAATGCACCAGCGGGGAATCGAACCCCTTCTCGCCGCATCACTCCGCCACAATCATCTATAAGTTCAGCGCATGCTCCATACACCACTGGTTCCCTCTACCCTCCCTTTCAGCTTGTTAACTGTGTTAGATTTCCCGTAGGCAGGATGCCAAAAAGTCTCACAAAGCTACATCATGCACCAGCGAGGAATCGAACCCCTTCCCACCGCAACCCAGAGGGGCCTCTCTATCAGATCGGTGTGTGTTCTATACACCACCGGCGCTTCCTACCCTCATTCTCAGCCTCACTATCTACAGTCGATTTTCTGAATGCTGGATAAAAATGAGGAAAGCTAGAGAGAGGCTCATGCACCAGCAGGGAGTCGAACCCCGTCTCACCGGAAAGCTGGAACTTGTTGGATGACCGGATACGGTCAGTGTGTGTTCCATACACCACTGGTGCTTTCTACCCTCATTATCTTTAGCTGATTTTCTGAATGCTGGGTAAAAATGAGGAAAGCTAGAGAGAGGCTCATGCACCAGCAGGGAATCGAACCCCGTCTCACCGCCAAGGAGCAATACAGTTATTCTTGATACGGTCAGTGTGTGTTCCATACACCACTGATGCTCTCCAACAATCTTCTGACCCCAGCCAGGTGCCTTCAATTCCGTGTTGCGATGGAACAAGTACAAGTTCGGGGTGTGTTCCATACACGACAGGTACTCTGTACCCTTCTTTTCGACTTGATTAAATGTGTTAAATGTCTGCGTGGCAGGATACTAGAAAACGATTCATGCACCAGTGAGGAATCGAACCCCATCTCGCCGTCAGCTCCGCAGGTTACACTGGTGGTCCCTACCCCCGGTTTCAGCCTCGTCAACTGCGTTAGAGTCTAGCATCTACCGGAGAAAAAAAACCGAAGCTGCAAAGCATGCACCAGACAAGCATGCACCAGCCGGGAATCGAACCCGTCTCACCGTCGGTAGACTCATTTTGCATGCGCATAATTGACACCCTCATGGTCAGATGCTACTATCCGGGGCTCGCGGCATTATGGCACATATAGTGCGCAAAAAATATTTGCGAACATCTTTCAACTGTGAACAGTGTTTTTGCTTACAACTTTGGTTGAATCCATGAACTTGCTGACAACTTGGAGCTTGGGGACATCTCTGCCATAGGTTAAAAACATGTGGTTCTTCATAACATCCAAGCCTTGATACATCTTGGAGTGACTTCACATCGAGGCGGATTTGCTTAAAATGATGCTCCTGATTGGAACATTGATGCAACATCTTTGCCGAAGTCCCCAAATGAAAACCATGCCATCCATGGTCTATAATGAATGTAGCAAGCCCACAGTATCTCTGGAAGACTAATTCTCCCTCTGTTTGATCTGTAAACATCAAACCGTTAAGTGATTTAACCGAGGCAAAAGACGGGGATGATTCAAAGTAATCCAAGGATCTTGAGGATGTGTTGAGCAGGAAGAGGCTTTAAACAGGCACATGACGCTCAGGTAGATCTAGTTAAACCGTGGGTCTGTGCCGGAGTCCATCCACAGAGCTCACAAACACCAGGAATTAAATTTGAAGAATCCTCTGGTTTCCCGGGCGATGCCGAGTGGCTCGGGAGAGCCGAGATGATGCGGCGGCTGGCGGCAATCAAACGCCAAGATGTCATCTACTTAGAAGATGTCGCCTATTCAAGATGTAAACCATGAGCAAGATGACAGTCATAAGATGAAGTTGTATTCAGAAAATTTGACAGCAGCTGTAAGTTGTCGTCAAAAACCCTGTCAAATATATGGGCGATATACTGTCCAAAAATTCAGTGCATTTTACAGGGTTTTGAGTGACAACTTACAATTGAATTTTGCCTCCAGCTTACAACTTTGGCTGCAGTTGACAACTCAAGACAGCTTACATCTTGAACTTGCTCGCATCTGCCAAATGGGTTGCATCTGATGGCCGGAAGCTAGCCTGGCCGAGCCATCAACATCGGCTACCGGCATTAGGTGGGACAATCCATTGATTCTTGGGATTTACTTGTGGTCACTTGTATGCAACACATATGGACTCCGACACAGAACAACTGGTTCCTTTTATCCCAATCAAGGTCCCCTGCACGTTTCGAGTCCATGCAGGCCAGACTTCACTCAATGGGCTGTAAATACCTACTTCTGATTTTCCTTTTCTTTCTGCCCCAGAAACCCTTGATGCTTCAAGTGCATCAATGAATACGGGCCAAATTAATCAGTTCAGGGGGATGATGGACCTCCTGCCCGCAATATAGACTCGGAAAGAGATGGTTTCTGTTTTGGGACTTAGCAAAGAGCCATAGCATCAATGTTCCAATCAGCCACATCATTTTGGCCAAATCTCTCTAGATGTTAAGTCCCTCCAATGTGTACCGAGGTTTAAATGTAGAATGGCACGGGATGTTGTAAAGTGGAGCCAAGTTGTTCCCTCGGTGCCAACTTGTTAACAATTTCAAGAATTCCACCAAAGTTGTAAACAAAAACCTTGTTAACGGCTGGAGATGCCAGCGGATAATTTTTGGACAGTATATGTGCCATACAATACCTCGAATTTTCGCACAGTATATCTATGGCACATATACTGTCCAAAAATTATTAGCTGACATCACTCAACCGTAAACATGGGTTTTGCTCGCAAGTTTGGGTGAATTCTTGAAATTGCTGACAACTTCGGACTGGGCTACAACTGTCACCCCACCTCAGACCAGGTAGTTCTGAAATACATTCAAACCTTGGTACATCTTGGAGGGTCTTTATATTGAGGCCAATTCCTTTAAATTGATCCCACTGATGACAACATTGATGCCATGTCTTTTGCCGAGTCTCAAAATGGAAACCATCTTATTCCGGGTCTATATTGTTGGTAGGAGGTCCTCAATACCAGTTCAATACCTCTGCACTGATTAACCTGACTCTTGTTCATCTGTAAACTTAAAGCATAAACAGGTTCAAGAGCGGCAAAAACATCGAGCCACCTTGAACTATTTAGGAGCCGTTCAGAGCAGTCTTCTCTGGGACCTACTTGAAAATTTCAAGGGATCCTCATGAGAATCTCATCAGGTAGTAATTCTATGCCAGAGTGCATCCAGGCCCCTGGCGATTGTCCATACTTAAATTCCCAAGAATCACCGAGGTGTGCTGAGTAATGCCGGGAGCCGACGTGATCCGCTGGCTTCCGGCAATCAAATCTGAAGATATCATTCAGTTTGAGGATGTTAGCTAGTCCGAGATGTAAGCCATCTGAGTTGTCAGCCAGAAACTTAAATTGTATCCAGGAAATCCAAGCCAGCTGTAAGTTGTCCTCAGAAACCCCGTAAAATGACCTGAATTTTTGGACAGTATATCGCCCATATATATCACCCATACGGCATATTAATCCCTGACAGGCACGATTTTACAGTCTCAAAAAACGCTTTTCTCCTGGTGTCTAGACTCTACCGTGGGACATGGGGGAACCTGTGGGGTCTGTGAGATAAGTCTAGGCATCGGAGAAGAGTCCAGGGGCGAAGGTGTAATTACGCTTGCTTTGTACACCGGGACAATCCCTGGAATCGGTGTTCGTTATTCGGACCGGCCGTGTAATACTACCTACCTACCTACCTACCTACCCGCACATTCCCGCGACGCGACCATTACGTTGCCCACAAAACTTCTAATTTCGATGTTATCATGGCTTCAGGTTGCCGGATTCTGCAAATTGTACTTGGGAATCCTTGGCAATTACTTAATAGCACCTTGCAGCTTACACGTATCTGCATCCATAGATACAGCATCCGAAATCAACTGATTGACAATGATCTAGATCTGTCATTAGGCCAGTGGGTTGCGCCGCAAGACTCCCTTGCTCGCATCCTTGGGGGGCTGCACCTTTAACTAAATCCCTTGTACATTTGTGTTTCAAAGGGACCGACAGTAGGGGGTAAATTGTGGCGTGTGCACTTGTGAATAAACTGGTAGCCTGATAGCACTTAGGAAGAAGAATAGTCTCGGATACCTAAAATAATTATAGACTGCCGGCTTATCACCGGGGTTATGTAGCACTATTTAAGGATGTGGTGAGTGCGGAGTACAAAGTCACTTTTCTCCTTTATGCACCGGTGGGGGTCAAACCCCAGTTCATCATTCCTCCTGAGGATATTTATACCGAGATGACGCGTGTGCCGCACACTACCGATGCTTTTAGCATACCTACAGGATGCCTGGTTTATGCCATATTTTGTTCCCCGTTTTGCATCATTTCTGCAGATGCTCCGACCACCGAGTCCACTTGCATTGGTTACGAGGTCTGAATTTTCCGGCCTAAATTCGAGGACCTAGGACTTCCTTTTCCATCGATACCCCGCATCCTATATGGTATGCATCCGCTTGTTCATCAACACTTCAGGTCTATGTCAATTAACCAGCCATGCTATGTCGACATTTACCACTGTGTGGATCCAGGGCCACACTATCACGAGCTCGCGAGGCTTTTATGCATTATAAATTTGAGCCTATTGTGTGGTTGCCACTTGTACTCCATAAATGCATGCGGGCAATTGTAAGGCCCTCCGAGCATCCCTGGTACCTCCGCCGTTGCCATTGTACCATGGGCCGAGTGGTATCGTACGTGTTGCGCAAACTCGCGAACATCTCAATCCAGAAGACCTAAATTAGCTATCTCTCTGTGAGTCTCTTATCTAGTATTCCCAGGAAAGCTAAATATCCCAGCAGAAGAGTAGCACACATTAACAACGAGCACAATTTGTGTGTTCCAGATTGAGAGGCTAGGCCCGGGGTGCAAACACTGTTGAACGATAAGCGGAGTGTGGTCAGCTCGAACCCTACCCATTCTAGTTGCACACCATTCTTTATCTGAAGACCTCTCCTCCGAGACACCCCAGAGACTGACGCGGACCAACAGTGTGCTTTACTAAGATGGGGAGCTATCCTCGGGAACTAAAGGATGGTCATGATCGACATGAGTACAGATCGGTGAACATAAATTTATGCGCCCTGTCCCGAATTGGCATATGATGTCGATGCCTGAGGAGCAGGAAGGAATTCTTACAGAGTTGGATTCAATTCTTTTCGTACATTGCAAGTAATCAAGGGTGGAGCTACATGTAGAGTCCAAAGAGCTCAGATTAAATAGGCCCCGGGAGATACCGGCAAAATCACGACGACATGGCTTTAGACGCCTGGATAAGGGAATGGTCTAGCCTCTAGGCCGCGGGAGATGCCGGTAAAGTCACGAACGCTCAGATCCGTCACTTTTTTGGACCCTCCTATAAAGGGAATGGTCTGGGCCCTTGGAGATGCTGAAAGCCTGATTAGGACTCACCTCAGTGATCGGATGATTGGAATTTTTCAACCGAGACCTGGTCCCGAAGTCGGTACCAGGAATACTAGTATCTGGGGACCTCCGCTCACGCCACACTACCATTAGGTTCCCCTCGAAACTTGTATTTATAAATCCGATGCCATCGTGGCATCTGGTTCCCTGTTTCTCCAAATTGCACTTAGCAATTAATCAGTAGCAAATTCACTATCATAGATACAGCATCCGAAATCAACATAAGTGACAATGATCTGTCATTGGCCAGGCTTG